GGGTGGGGAGACCTGGAAGAGGTAAGGGAGCCTGCACGCAGTGGCAGGAAGAGCACGCAGCAAGGCACAGCAAATGCAAAGGGCCTGAGGTCGGAAAGTGCAGGGTGTTTGAAGAGCAGTGGGAGGTCAGTGTGAGGGAAGCAGAGAAAAGGGAGCATTGGGGATGAGGGCAGGGAGGCAGATTTTGTTTGACCCAGTGGGCCTTTGTAGGGCTTTAGGATGTCACTGTGGGAGAGGCAGGAGCCATTGCAGGGCATGGAGCAAATGAGTCATTCTCTCCACACTGGGAAAGGGCCACTCAGGTTGCTGTGCTGAGGAGAGGCTGTAGGGGTGCAGGGACAGAAGCTAGGAGTACAGGTGGGATCAGAAGCTGGCCTTTTGCAATAATCCAGGTGAAAGGGAAGGTGCCTTGACTGGGCACACTTGCTCATAAGAGCACGTTGTTAAATTTTCAGTAATACTGCAAGCTGGTTGTTAAACACAGTTATTAAAAATTAAATTATATAAATGCACAATGAGATAAAGTTTATTAAAAACAAAGGTAGCAAAACTCAAAGCCCACCACTTCCTAATTATTTTGTTATTTTACTATCATCTGTGCCTTTGAAGTTCCTTCTGCACAGCTGTGTGGCGGACGTGCTGTGCCGTGGTGGTTAGCTCTGCACGCCTGTTCTCGGCCCCATGCCCTGTCGCACCCATGTCATGCTGTGGTGGGAACATGTGCACCGTAGAAACTGACACACACTATAGATCAGCACCCGAGTTCCAGCCAGCGCTGGTCCTTATGAATTTAGCAGCCCAGCTCGGGTGGTGACCAGTGGCAGATGCTAGATTTCAAAGTCAGAGCTGATGGATTGGCTGATGGATGGCTGTGGGTGTGTGATCTGTCTGGCTGAGTGCAAGCAGCTGTTCCTCGTGGTACCTGCTGGGAAATGCTGGCCAACTGCACAGGCAGTGGGAGGGGTGGGCAGACCGGTGGGAATGGTGTCCCTATGCCTGGAACAAAGCCTGGCACATAGTAGGTGCTCAGGAAATACTCATTGCTGGAAGCAGGGGCTGGCTCTGGCCACTGTGGGGCCAGTGCAAGGGTCCTCGTTGCCCAGACAGATGATGTCCAGACACTGGCTCCTGCTGGCCTCAGGACCCGGGCTCTCCCTCAGCACCCCCCCCCC